TTTTTTATACTAATTCATCGTTGTATCTCCATACAATATCAGCCACGATACTCTTACTTACTAATTTTAAAAGATGACCGACTTCTCGATACGTTTTTCCTTTTTCTCGGTGGAAAATGACTAATTGTCGTACGTCAATAAATCGAAAGAGGAGTTCAAACAACGATTAATCGTAGAATGGAAGAATATTTTGCTAAATTACTTAAAAAAAATTACTAGAAATATGCCTAAACGTCTGCGATATATTACTGAAGTTAAGGGCTACCTAACAAAATATTAATTATTGTTCATGTTAACAATTTTCAGGTTCAAATATTGTAGTTCTTCAAATGTCCGAATATTTTTTGCCACGCCACATTTCGACATGGTTCAGTTTATTGTTTGATATTGAGAAAAGTATGTGCAATAAATAAATGAAATTTACGTTACTATAAACTATAATGAATGTTCTATTATATCATTAAAAAAATTGATCCAAATTTATTATTACGTACAATCGAAATCCACAACAATATTTTGAATGGCACGATGTCCGAATATTAATAAAAGTCACAGCACGTAGAAAATGAAAAATGTGTTTTCGTCAGTAAAGCTGTACCGTAACGGTATATATTTCGGTATTTTTACCGTTGTGGACATCAAATATCGATAAAATACGCATGTAAATACCGGTATGACCGTCTTATACCGGTATTAAAACCGACCTCCCAAATGGCGGTTATATTACGATAATATGGGAGCAAATACCGGTGTAATACCTAAACCTCACAATATTTCCGTTTCAGTCTCTGGGTATAATACCTAAACCTCAAAATATTTCGGTTTTCAGTCTCTGGTTTCGAGCATCGACGATAAGATCACGTGCATTCGCTCGTGCATACGGGATTTTAGCTGGCAGCCGATTGCGGACCGTAACGAGTGACCCGAAATAACCGTATACGACAATTCGTCGCTTTCTTTTTCTTTCGAACTCGAGAAGTCGGTATGATATCAATCACCGGATAGATACCATCGAGAAGTAATAAATTTATCATTTGCTTTGCCCGGTGTTATATACTTAAATATATACTTTAGAACTGAGAAGACATTGCAAGCAAGAGGTTGAAACGAGAGATTTAAACGGAGGTCTGGTCTCTCTCTCTCTCTCTCTCTCTCTCTCTCTCTTTCTCTGTATCTCAAAGTGGCCGATTGTTCGTTTCTGACAAGAGGGTTAAATCGCATAGGTGGAACTGGATCAAATATTAATTAACAGCGAGGAAAGGTCGCGGCTGGCTCGGGGAAATCGAAATTCACTCGCCGCACGTGGCACCGACTGATTCGGGTCACGACCAAGCGGGGCCAATTTAATCAAATAATCGCCGCTCTTTCTTCCCCGAGACGCAAGGAAACAGCTCGCCGAGAATGACCGGTGTCTCGCCGATCCTCTTCACGCCGGGTCGCGTCACGAAATCTCGCGTCGAGAAATCGAAATAATAACGTGAAACAAATCGGGACCGTGCGGGGTGAAAAATTGAAACGCGAGGAAAGGGAACAACGACCGTAGATAGAAAGCACAACGACGAGAGAGAGAGAGAGAGAGACGTACGTACAAAAAAAAAAAAAAAAGAAAAGATCAAGACAGACGAAAAAGGGGTGAGAGATAGGCTCAAACCGCTTTGTCGGTCACAGGGACTCCTCCAGTCGTTTCGACCTTCTTTTCCGTGGCACGGTGCAACGGCCAGCGCACGTGAAATCACCTAGATGGCGCTCACGCTAATCAGCACCCTCGTCCCTTCCCTTCTCTCTCACACACTCTCTCTCTCTCTTCCTAGTTTCTCCGAACGAGAAAGGGGTCGAAACTCGGAGAAAGAGCGAAAGAATGACGACAGAGTCACCCGAATGATACCCGGATGGAGAAAAGTTGCTAGAGTCAGACAGGGGGGAGCGAGGAGGGGGAGGGGAAAAGGGGGGGGGGGAGATCGGGTAAGAACGAGGGCTGGAAAACGAGGAAGAAACGACGACGCGATGGGTGAGGATCAGTAAAGGGGGATCGGAAAAAGGGTCGTGGGTGAGGGCCACTGTGTCGGGGGTGGGGGTTGTATCGACCGCGCCGCACTGCAGGGCTTTATCCCCTCCTTCTCGTCTACCCCCCACCAACGCCACTCTGGAGCGAGCACTACACACCCAGACACGCAGAGAGAAAACCGTGGAGGAATATTCTCGCTGTTTCTCTCTCTCTCTCTCTCTCTCTCTCTCTCTCTCTCTCTCTCTCTCTCTCTCTCTCTCTCTCTCTCTCTTTCTCCACGCCGCTGCTTTATTTAATATCTCCCGTTTTCTCTTCCCCTCTCATTCTCCCATTTCTCTCCTTTTCCCCTTTCACATCGCGGATCTTTGTTTCTCCGCCGGTGTCTCTCTTCTCCTCATCTTCTCTTTCAACCTCTTCGTTCGCTGATACCGCTGATTTCACCTCGAGGTTCTCTTTTTTTCTTTTTTCTCTCTCTCTCTACCACGTTTCGTTCCACATTTCTCTCTCTCTCTCTCTCTCTCTTTCTCTTTTTCTGGTTCTCGCTCGCGGGAAGAAGAACCGGAAGCAGAACAGAGAGAGAGAGGAAGGCGTGTGTACCGAGGATATGCAAGTTTCAGCCGCAAACCGATGACACTATATTGGTTTTCCACGCGATATTGTTATTTAGACCGTGAGTTTCATTCATCATCCGCGAGTCCTAGGGATCCTCCACTTCCGACGTCTCCACGACGTCTCACCGCCCCCATTATGCGCTGTTATCTCCGGCCGCGCCCGCGCTCCACTATCCCCGAAACGAGATTAAATCTAGTTCGTGCCTGTTTATGGGCCTTTTTATACGCCGAATTTGCATCGAATGGCAACGAGATCGTAAATCTAGGACGTTTCGTAAGGTAAATTCTTCGTAGTTCCACTCTTTGCCCTCGAAAACATTTTTTTTTGTTTTGTATCGTCTACCAGCAATTTATTTACGAAACGGTGAGTAAAGTATCACTTCAAATAAAACGATGTAGCATTGGATGTAATCATCCTAGTTTAAATAGCATTTTATGATTGTATCTCTCCGATGTGCCTAGTTTGTTTAAAATCAATCACCAAGTATAGTACATAGAAGTTCATGGCAAATAATTTCAATTTTTTACTTGTTTTTAAGGAGTTGTCGTGAAATGAGAAACTTCAATCTTCAAGATCGTGATGGATTGGTCGTAAATAAAATTTTTTCAGTGTATGTATGAATTTTTACATTTCTTTTAAAGAAAAGAAGACACTTTATACATGGTGTAAAAATATCTTGGGGGGGGAAAAGAAAAGAATTCGATGTAGCGAAAACAGAAGCTTCACGTTATAAAATGAGACTAAATAAATTGTTACGTGATCTCTTTTTGACGAAATCACAACAGTTCAAAGTATTGACAATTTTTCATTCAGATTAATTGCAGTGCAAAACGAAAACAATTCATTCTTGCCACGATAGCGATGGTAACAAGGTCGCAAAATTTTTTTCTTTTCGAAAGCCAAAACATCCAAAAGAGTACTTTTTCTTTCATATTACTAATGTTTAAAATTCACACGTGTGTTCAATTTTGCTGTATAGCCTGTATGCAAGAAATTAAATAATTATCGTCTACTGCAAGAGAAGTGAAATAATCTTCCAAAGAAATTTCCTTTCAATAACATTTTCCAGCAAATTCAAATTTTATCTATTTGCCTGATCAATCACAAAAAAAAAAAAAAAAAAGAAAATTCTAGAGGCAAACCCTAGAAAAGCGTCGCGTAGAAAATTTCACAACTTCGAACACATCCAATACGATCATCCTCGGCAATTGTCGAACGCGCGCCACGTTGATACGTTCCCATCTGGAGAATCGGCGTGTAATCCGGTAACTCCAGAAAACTAGGTTCCCGGTCTACGTGCAACGCGAGGGTGGGCTTGAGGAATTTTTCGTTGCCACGATTCCGATCTCCCGTGCGCGTGGAGCGTGTAATTCAACTCGTCTGATGGAGGTGGCCGTCGTCGTCGTCGTTCGGTTGGCCGGTCGGTCGATGCGCAGAGGCGGCTGCATCGGGAATTTGTTGACAAGTAAGTAAGGCTTGTTACGTCGAGGGCTGTTCGCTGAAGAGGCTGCTCGATTGCCATCGGCAGAGAATGAAAATTTAACGAAAGACACGCACGCACAGGTCGGACTGGCGTCTTCGAAATTCATCGAGTGTGAAAATGTCTTATTGATGTTAAAAATTCGTGTGTGTGTGTGTGTGTGTGTGTGTGTGTCATGAATTATACAAATCACTTTAAAATTTAATTCAATTTCAAATTAATGGCATTAGTTTTATTTCCTTATATTTTTATTAAAAAAAAAAAAGAATTGGCGGGAAAGAACTTTTGGCCCACCCTGTATGTACATGTTCTAATGGCGCTAGTGAAAATATTTCTAATTCGCTATTAACGTTAAAGATTCACGAGCGTGTGCTCGTCACAAATTATACAAATCGCTTCCTACTTTGAACTAAAATTTAATTCAATTTCAAATTAATGAAATTAGTTTTATTTCCTTATATTTTTATTAAAAAAAAAAAAAAAAAAGAATTGGTGGGAAAGAACTTTTGGCCCACCCTGTACGTACACGATTCTAACGGTGCTTGCTATTTTAAAATTTAATTCAATTTCAAACTAATGAAATTAATTTTATTTCTTTATATTTTTATTTAAAAAAATATAATAAAAGAATTGGCGGGAAAGAACTTTTAACTCACCTTGTACGTACACGATCACGCGCTAGTGTAATTCGCATGAAAGTATTTAACGTTAAAGATTCACGCGTGTGCTCGTCACAAGTTATACAAATCGCTTCCCACTTTAAAATTTAATTCAATTTCAAACTAATGAAGTTAGTTTTATTTCCTTATATTTTTATTTAAAAAAAAGAAAAAAACTGGCGGGAAAGAACTTTTGGCCCACCCTTTACATACGCGTACTAGTTTTCCTCTTACGGGATAGAAATAGAATAATTTGGCGATCACAAGTAAGTTTTATAAAGGGAGAATGTATAACAATCGTGCGGTATTAAATGTCTCTATACACGTGTGAATCATTAAAATGAGAAAATCAGAAAATTGACAGAAATATTATTTTATTCCTCCTGCGAGCTTCATTTGACAAATTGCGAATCGAATCACCCTGACGATGTAAACAGCGACGTTGAATTTCGACGTTTAATGATCAATTTGTTCAAACGGCTCTCGCGACAAGAGAAAGAGAGAGGGGCAGCGCTGAGTAGCGACATCGAAACGATATCGTCGATATTGGAAAATCGTATCACCGACGTACGGTACGTACGTACAGAGAATCGGTGGAAACGAGGTTAAACTGTTTCTCCGACTCCCCTGTTCCTGTTCTCCTTGAACCCCTTGGCACGATTAAATTATGTATGCACCGGAGTGCAAAAATATGGGTGAAGTTATGATCTCCGATTCCAGCGGGGTCGAAAAACACCGCTATACATAAACGAACGAGTAAGAAAATTCAAGCTGTGATTCTTCCATTTTTTTCCACTATTTTTGTAACAGCGAAGCATTCACTCTCGCTTTCCCGTTTCTGGAGAAAGGAAAGAAAGAAAAGAAAGAAGAAATTCGCAAAACTGGCGACGAAACGCGTATCCGTTCGCGAGGGGGGAGGAGAACGAGGGTTAGATTTAGGTTAAGTTTACATCAAGTTTAGGTTAGGTTTAGAAAGAAAGGAAAACAACGAAGGAATTCGCAAAAATGACGCGATATCTCTTCGACGAAATACATAGTATTCGTTTGCGTGGAGGGGAGAAGAGTTAGGTTTAGGTTAGGTTTAGAAAGAAAGAAAAAAAAGAAGAAAATCGCGAACATTTAGGTTAGGTTTAGAAACAAAAAAAAAAAAAAGAAGAAGAAATTCGCAAAAATCGCGAACATTTAGGTTTAGAAAGAGAGAAAGAAAAGAAGAAACTCGCAAAAATCGCGAATATTTAGGTTAGGTTTAGAAAGAAGAAATTTACAAAAATCGCGAACATTTAGGTTAGGTTTAGAAAGAAAGAAAGAAGAGAAGAAACTCGCAAAAATCGCGAACATTTAGGTTAGGTTTAGCTCAGGTTTAGAAAGAAAGGGAAAAAAAGAAGAAATTCGCAATAGTCGCGAACATTTAGGTTAGGTTCAGAAAGAAAGAAAGAAAAGAAGAAGCTCGCAAAAATCGCGAACATTTAGGTTAGGTTTAGAAAGAAAACACAGACATCTCTTCGACGTCGAAATACATACATACATACAAACATACGTGTTCGTTCGCGTGGGAAAGAGGGGTTAGGTTTAGGTTAGGTTTAGAAAGAAAGAGAAAAAGGGAAAAAATTCGCAAAAATGCCGCGACACCTCTTCGACGAAATACATACGTATTCGTTCGCGTGAGGGGAGGGAATAGTAAGCTACGTGTCTTTATTTTGCAAGAGTAACAGAAGACGAGTGAAAGAAAAAAAGAGCAAAAGAAAAAGAGAAAAAGAAAGAAAGGCAAAAAGTTTCGAAGCAATGAAATCAGAACGAGAACCACGCGACGACGATCGTAACGTGGAAATCACGAGGCAACGTGCGCACTGTTGAAAGATGCACGAGCGTCGGAGAGAGAAAAGAGAGGCGAAAGGAGGTCGGGAGAAGAGCCAGCGGAACATTTGCATGGGACAACTTTTTTTGTTTTCTCAAGTTCGGCCTTCCGCTGTCGCGGAACAGGGGAACAGAGAAGCTTGGCTCGGCGGAACGCATCGATAGAGCGCGATGATATCGATTGTCAGACAGTTATGCTGCCAGTGGCGAGCGAAGAAAAAGCGAGAAAAAAGGAAGAGTAAACGGAAGAGACAGAGAAGAACGGAAAAAACACGTGTACATACCGGGTGTTCCCCAAAGAAGAGACAAGTCGCGAAAAAAGAGTAAACTTTTTTTTTTTTTTATTTGACGCGTTTACAATTTGAAAGTCTGCAAGTTCGCGTGCACCTTCGGAGTCTCTTTTTACGCCGTAAATTATAAATGATATTTTATAAACGGCGTAAATACTTTTATACATCGTAGACACTGATGCAAACGTTCAACGTGCCGTAAAATTTCAACGATTAATTTTAAAATTTTTCAAACGAACTTCTTCAGAGATTAAAAGACATGGTGCGTGTGAAAATTTGGCGAAAGATTTCTTCCTGACCGGAATCGTCACATTTTCACCAGCCTTAGATTTCGGGGACACCCTGTACATCGAGGAGATTGCGGGCCACGAGATTAAAGGAAGAATTTACGAGCAATTGAAAAATATATTACCGCGCCTCGTGACACGTTGGATCAGCTGATCCTCGCTTCCACGCAAATATAGAAACATTTCTCTCCCCCACCCCCCACCCCTTTCGCGTATAGTCAATTTCGTTCGAGCTCTCGATAATTCCAGAGAGATGAAAAAGCGATCGAGGGATCTGTAAGGGAGAAACGCTTGAAAGGGAGAGGGAAATGCTTCCGCTGCTGTTGCAGGGGAAATAACGAATTTTCAAACAGGAAGAAAACTCCTGCCTTCTCCCCTAATTAAATTATTAGCCCCTTGGCTATGACAGACTTTGAACCGCGACCTACGCTACGAGAACATCTTCATTTCGTCAGCGTACACATCTCAGAAATTGAAACAAAATGCGCTGGACTGCACTACGTTCAACCAATATTATTTATTCATCCTATATTCTGTGTTGAATTGTTAGTGCATGTAATGAAAATTTCAGCGACTTCGAAACATGATCCTACACTATTATACTACTATATAAATAATATTTTATATTATTATTTATATAATAATTATTATATAATTATATAATATATAATTTATAAATACAATTATATATACTATACTATTCTATATTATATAATTATATATAACTGTAACTATATTATATTATATTATATTATAGTAGTGTTAGAGTATATTATATATAAATATATATAAGTAGTAGTAGTAGTTGTATATAGTAGTATATATAAATATTATACATAAATATAATATTATAATATTATATAAATATTTTATATTATTTATATAATAATTATTATATAATTATATATAACTATTATATATTACATTATATATAATATAGTTATATATAAGTAGTAGTAGTAGTTATATATAGTAGTATATATAAATATTATATATAACTATAATATTATAATATATATTTTATATTATTTATATAATAATTATTATATAATTATATATAACTATAATATGTTATATCATATATAATATAGTTATATATAAATATATATAAGTATTATATATAACTATAATATTATATTAATATTATATAAATAATTATTACATAATTATCATATAAATAATATTTTTTGTGATTACATTTATTACCACACCTTTCAACTTACGTCGGATTCAGTATTTTTTTGTTGCAAATATTGTCAGTAACATTTGCCGGGCGCCCATAGGCGCCAAGATAGGGTTAAGACTCGCCAACGATGATTCATGGTCGTCTCGCGAGCGAATGTTCGCGGTCAGGACACACGACGAGTATGACAATTTATCACCTGGTTTCTTCTTTTTTCCATCGCTGTTTCAGCAGCCGTTCCGCGCGACCAACTTTTCAAATCTTTCGCGATAAAAACGCATTTAGAAACACATCTATCTCATGTATCTCTATCCATTTACATCCGTGGCTAATTCATTCGATGCCGCGACATTTCGCGCCGAAATTCGTACTGAATATCGAGCGACTTGGAGCCTGGCCAAATGTATCTCTCTCTTTGATCTGCCATTCGAAACGCGTCTTTCTCTCTTTCTCTCTCACCCTCTCTCATTAACGCACGCTTCAGCCTCGTGTGAAATTCGCGTGACGTTTGTTATTAACAAAGCGTTGGCTCTGTACCGTGCGTTGAATACGCGAACTTAACTACGTGAACATACAAGGCACAACAGCACGTTATTCTGACGCGCCATGGAACTCGATTTAGTTCCAATTGCTTCCTTTTCGTTAGACATTTCGATTTATTTATTTATTTATTTATTCTTTTCTTTTCGTTTCGTCGACTGAGAATCTTCCATTCACGAAGATTAAAAATCTTCTGTCTTTTGTCTTTTGCGACGTACCACTTCTTTTTGGAGGGAGAAAGAATTCTCAATTCTTTACGTCACTTCTTTTTTCGAATTTTATTTTTTTCTTCTTCTTTTTTTTTTTTATTTCGTTCGTCGATCAAAAATCATCCGTCTTTCATTTTGCGCGAAATTTCACAATTTCTGACAGTTACGTGGGTAGAAATAACACAAACCTAACCTACGTGATTTATAATAAATATGAAGAAAGTTTATTAACTTAGGAATTAAAAAATATCGAAAAATTCCAAATACGAAGGTAAAACTTTTCCCAGGAACCATAAATAAATTGATAAGTGGCAGGAAAGTTTCTCGATCATTTAACACTGCGGGCACGTGCGTGCTAACAGCGACTTTATGATTCTGGACGCGCGAATGTAATGTTTATATTTCGAATAATTTTAACAGTTAATTTCTTTTTTTTTTGTTTCCTCAATCAAAAATCTTCTGTCTTTCATTTTGCGCGAAATTTCACAATTTCTGACAGTTATGTGGGTAGAAATAACACAAACCTAATCTACATGATTTATAATAAATATGAAGAAAGTTTATTAACTTAGGAATTAAAAAATACCGAAAAATTCCAAATACGAAGGTAAAACTTTTCCCAGGAACCATAAGAAAATCGATAAGTGGCAAGAAAGTTTCTCGATCATTTAACACTGCGGGCACGTGCGTGCTAACAGCGACTTTATGATTCTGGACGCGCGAATGTAATGTTTATATTTCGAATAATGTTAACAGTTAATTTTTTTTCTTCTTTTTTTTTTTGTTTCGTCAATCAAAAATCTTCCGTCTTTCATTTTGCGCGGAATTTCACAATTTCTGACAGTTATGTGGGTAGAAATAACACAAACCTAACCTACGTGATTTATAATAAATATGAAGAAAGTTTATTAACTTAGGAATTAAAAAATATCGAAAAATTCCAAATACGAAGGTAAAACTTTTCCCAGGAACCATAAGAAAATCGATAAGTGGCAAGAAAGTTTCTCGATCATTTAACACTGCGGGCACGTGCGTGCTAACAGCGACTTTATGATTCTGGACGCACGAATGTAATGTTTATATTTCGAATAATGTTAACAGTTAGTTTTATCATTTGATTATACCTTACCTAACCCACACTGACGCTACAGCTATGACAAATCAAATGTTAGTGAAACCCAATACAAAAAATTACGTAAAATACGTCCACGCGTTCAGAACCATTAAGTCACTGTTAGAACTCACGCGACCGCAGTGTTAAATGGTCAAGAAACTTTTCTGCCATTTTCCAAGAGAATTGATGTCTATTAAGTCATGATTTACGGTTCCTCAGAAAAGTTTCACCTTCGTCATAACTAGAATACAATGCAAGAGAAAAAAAAATTTTTTTCTCGACCTTGAAGTTCAAAGTCAGTTAATTTCGCGCCACGGGCAAATTTTCCTTTTCACCCTCGTGCAAACATTCACTCCTCGTTCGAATGTACTTTGAACGACCACCTTGTTTCCTCAAGGACGCGAGGAGCTCGGTTCCACTCTCTCAACTGAAATTCCACAACGTCGTTTCCATCGGAGGGTCGAGTTTATACCTCTCTTATTTATTTCCCCAACATAATCGATTTTTACAACTGCGATTTGTCCTGCTCGGAAGAGGAAAACCAAATGGTCTCCAGGATGGCCGAAAACTTTCGGGGAGAGATCGATGGCTTACCCTCTCGCCCCGGAACCGTTCTCCAAATTGCGCTTTCACCTTCTCTCCGCCCTTGTTTCCGCCAAGTACAATGGACACTGGCGTGTCTGTTTGCACTGGATTTCACCCTCGCCAACGCTTTGCTTCCTTTTTTGTTTCCCGCTCCTCTGTCTTCTCCTCTTCCTCGCGCGTCGAACGTTCAATTATCTCGAGTTAATTGCCGGGGGCCGGGGGCGTTGATTTTTAATTAAAGTCACTTTTGACCATGCCAGGGAAAATCTGACGAGTGGAAAACGAGCGACGATTCGAGAAATTCTGGGGT